CCCTAACCGGCCGGGCCGGCGTGAGGGTGGGGGCGGAGGGGGAATGGCCGCGGCCCCGCCTCACTGTTGGCCCTCCGCCAGCGCCGCCATTTTGTTCTCGACGGAGATGGCTCTGGCTGTGCTGGGCTCCCTCCTCCTCCTTAGCCTCCTCCTCCCTGCAGTCCCTCCTTCCCTCGCTTCTCGCCCCTCCGCTCCCCTTCTGTCGTTGGCGACTGCCGCGGCCCAACCGCCGTTTTTCCTGAAGGGGAGGGTGAAGGAAAAGGAGGAAGGCGGGTATGGGGCGCGACCTCGTGAGCGACAGCTGGGCGGACCAACTGGTACCCAGACGGGAGGGCTGGGACCTGCAGCTCCTCCCCCCGAAGCTCTGCTGATTGGCTCTGGCAGGAGAGGGCGGTCCCCGCGGGGCGCGGGAGTCCTGGCGGGGCGGGGTCAGAGGCCTGGGCGCGGCGTGGGGGCGCGGCAAGGGTAAGGGTCTGGGGCGCACCCGGGCGCGGCTCGGAGTCCAGCGGCTTCCCTCCGCCTGGAACGCGTCCCGAATGAGTACTGTAGAACAATAGTAATAAAGGTGACGAAGCATGTTGAACCTACGGCGCCGGCTAGTGGGAAGGATTTTTTTGGAATCTGGACACCTTTCAGGGTTCCTGCCCGCATTTTCGGCGCGGCCGCGGGCGAATCCTCATTCTGAGGCTTAATTTCATACGTTGTAAAATGGGAAGGATGGGCGTTCTTACCAGGCGGTACCTTCCTCCCCAGGGTCTTTTGAGGGGCTCTACTCCGAAAATGGAATCTAGGCTACTTTGTGAACCCCAAAGTAATGTAAAAATGGGTGTTATTGTTGAAGATCGGATGTAGAGGCACCAGGAGTAGAAAGCTTAAGGTATTGAGGGCTTGAAAGAACATAGGTGAATCTGAGGGAATTCTTTTCTCATTCGTTGATTATATGTTTATTTGCTTTGTTTGGAGCACCGGGGATATATCCAAGAACCAGCTAGACAAGGCCGCTGTCCTCCAAGAATCGGGGGTGGGGGTGAATAGATAATTAAAGAGATGATTTCAGAGAGTGTTAAGTTCCAAGAAAGAAAGAAAGTGAAACTGGATTAACTTAAAGAAGGCCTGAGGAGGTTAATTTAGATTGGATGGTTAGAGAAAGCTACTGTGAGGTGATGTTTGATCGGAGGAATCCGAAAAAGGAATAATCTTCTGGAGCAAGGACTGCAAGTGTAGAGGCAGGCCCAGGAGGGAAAGCGTTTGTTGTGATTGAGAGCTGGACAGTTGTGGCTGGAGAGTGGTTGGAACTAATTCATTGTCCTTTCCATTACCCCCAGGCTAAAGTCTGAAATATGACAAAGGTAATGGAGAATAAATCTTAAACTTAATAAAAAAGAAGAGAGTCAAGGAAAATAGAGCCATCAAATGAATTGCCGATGAATACATGACTTGAAGGGAAAGCCTCCAGATAATTTCCCAATTCAAATCCTGTGTTGGCCCCATATATCTATCTTCAATTCATCAAATATTTGCTGAGCCCTACTAATACCCCAGGCACTAGGTGCTAGACAGGGAATACAGAGATGGCTAAGACATTGATCTGTGTCCTCAAGTATATAAGTGAATGGTTTTATACACATGAGTTCTGCCCCCCCCACACCCCCAAATACAAGCACACAAAGTGTTTTAGGCAGAAGCTAATTATTGTGGTTAACAGTGACAACATTTACTAGCTGTATGAGTTTGGGTAAGTTACTTTACTGAGCCTCAGCGGCCTCATCTGGACAATAATAGAACCTTCTAGAATTGAAGATTAAGTAAGTTAATATAATGAGCTTAGAAAAGTGCCTGGCACATAATAAATACTCATCATTGGAGTTATTGTAATTGTGAAGCACTAGCTATCTGGTAAAGAAATCCAACTAGTTAAATGATTTAAGCAATGAAGTTCTTAGGGACTGGTAGAAGCAAAACACTGGATTAGAACACGGAGGTTCTAATTTTGGCTCTTTTGCTTTCCTTAGTCACTCTTGGCATCCAGACCAGAAGTTTATTTAGAAAACAAAGTAGTGGACTAACAACTATGAGGTGCTTTGCAATTTACAAAACTCTTAGAAGCATTATTCAAGCCCACTAGAAGCAATGGTAGAGGCCCTTTTCCTGTTCTCTAAAAACCTAAGACTTTTCAACATATTCTTATTCCTGTACCTCTAGCTCCTTGTGCTCTAAACATACTGGCCTGCCTTCAAGGCCCCTGATAGTGTAGCTTACATTGACCCCAGGCCCTTTCACATGCTGTTCACTCAGCCTAAAATTTTCATATGTCACAGCCCCCCCACCACACACACCCAGTCCTGCAGATCTCAGCTCAAGCATCACTTTCTCAGGGAAGACTTCTCTGATGCCCACTGCCAGTCTAGATCAGATTCTTTTACTTTGCTACACTGTTCTTTTCCATTATAATCTTTATCTCACTTTGTAATTATATTCCATTACATGATTGATGTATGTTCCCCTTACCATGCTGTAAACTTTATGAGAGCAGGAATCATTTCACTCACCATTATATTTCTAGCACTTAGCAGAATATCTAGCATTATTTGTTGAGTTAATGAATTGATAATTTATGATTTCGATGATAACTAAGTTGCTGCTCACTAATGGTGCCTTTTTATGTAGGCACATTTGTAAATTCAGATAGCAGTGCCAGCAAAAAATTGTCTGTTAGGTATTTGGATAAATTTAGGAAGTGGTCCAGATATGGCACCGACTGGAGACCTATATGGATAACATAACCCAGATAGATCTCTTTACCCATTTATATGTTGATTTATACTTATTTTTTAAGATAAGAAATAGATTCTGTAATAATTAATTGAATTACAAGTTAAATTAATGAAAGTTAATGAGTTCATATGGAACTCATAAATAGCCCAAATATAATTGTGCCATTTACTTTAACTGAAAAAGAAAAAGCACCAATATGATTTTCTTGAAATTAAAAATACTTGTCTTTGTTTCTCTTATCACAGGGGATCAGAGAACAGAGAAGAAGCCTTTAGTGGAGTTGAAAGTCTCTGTAGCCATTAATTTTAAATATCTTTCTAAAAATAAATTGGTTCATGCAACAGAATTATTGAAAATCACCTTTTAATTGCTTTAACAAGGTTAAAAGCAGATTTTACAAAATATATACCAACCTTCCACTGGAAAGTCTGGTAAATGGAACATTTTTGTTTAGTTATTTTATGTAATACAGATTTTAAAAATAAAATGTTATGATATTTTAAAAAGCAATAACAGTCATACTTATTTAAATCTTTGTTTATTTTTGGACTTTTGTTTTCTATCCTTTTCTAGGATTTATTTTGGTGTCATTTATTCAACACTTTTGATTACTGAGTAGTTCTAATTACTAAGGGTAACTAAAGAACTGATAGTTTAATGAAAAAACTATATTGTCTAACACCATTCGATTACTTATTATTTTCAATAGTTATATTTAAAGTGACCTTGAAATTCTGTTTTCATCAACATGCTTTCACAGAAAGAAGGAAAACCCTATGTGTAGTAACCTCACTTTATGAGGACGTCCAGAAAGTTTAAACATGTGTCTCTAAGGAGTCAAGTGACAGTGCAGCGCTTGGAACCTTGAATGGGTAGCTTCTCTGAGGAGATGGATTAAAAGGGGGAGGGAGGAAGCCAACCTGAACAGATTGGGGCCACTTGTCCAAATGACAGAGAACAAGGTAGGTGGGCCTCTGTGGAGCAGCCCCCCTTCAGCCTTGGCAGTGAACCACTGGCCTTGTGTATCTAGCTGCTTGAGTGTCTCCACATATTGAGGGCTCACATTTGGGATTTTTATCTTTGAATTCTCTTACCTATATGCCATATACTTATTTAGTCTCAAAGCACCTCCGAGAGCAGATACTAGTCCCCCTTAATTGATACTACATAGGGAGAATCTGTGAAGGAATCCATCATAGAGCTCATCTGGTTCAGCCTCATACCTGCTAGAGTTTATTTTAGTTTAGCTTTTATTTTATTATTGGTTATGAGGAACTTAAATAATGTTGACTTTTTTCCCTCCATGTATGATCATCATCTATAACCTGATGGACACATTCATGCTCTTGTCATGCATTGTAAAACATGAGCTCTTCTTTATTTGTTGGAGTTTCACTTGCCTTCAACCTAATGTGAGCAGAGGCTTGAGTTTCTCTTTGTAATTCCCTCCCATCCTGCCATTCCTTCCCTGTATCCCTTGTTACCTACTTATGCTACCCCTTCCC